ATTCTTTTTTTTTAATGTTTCTTTATTTTTGAGAGAGAGAGAATGAACACGAGAAGGGCAGAGAGAGGGAGACACAGAATCAGAAGCAGGCTCCAGGCTCTGAGCTGTCAGCAGAGAGACTGATGTGGGGCTTGAACTCACAAACCATGAGATCATGACCTGAGTGGAAGTTGAATGCTTAACCGACTGAGCTACCCAGGCGCCCCAAAATCTCTTAAATCCACCTTTTCTTCCCCTTTCTACACGATCTCTCAGTTGATTGCTCAGAAAAGTCTGAATTACTGAAGGGTTACTGAAGTTACTTAGACGTTACTTTAGATACTGAAGTGTCTAAAGTGTTACTAAAAAACTTGAAAATCTTTCATTTTTTCTTTCTTTTTTTTTTAAATGTTTTATTTATTTCTAGGAGAGAGATAGAGAGAGACAGCGTGAGCAGGGGAGGGTCAGAGAGAGAGGGAGTCACAGACTGAAACAGGCTCCAGGCTCTGAGCTGGCAGTCAGCACAGAGCCCGACGCGGGGCTCGAACCCACGAACCGCGAGATCATGACCTAAGCGAAAGTCGGACGCTCAACCGACTAAGCCACCCAGGCGCCCCAAAAACTTGAAAATCTTTCAAAGAGTGTTAATAAGACATTCAGAGGAGGTTCCATTTTTTTTAAGCAGTACAACCACTATTCCAGGTGGATCTTTTCTGTCTATTTGCAAAAAAATAAACCAATGTAACAATTGACTATGTTAAGCTATGTTTCACATAGTTAAGCAATTAAATACATTGTTTGCCTTCTTAGACTATAAACAAGCTGGTGGAGGTAGGAGTGTGGGTTGGTAATTTAGCCAGAAGCTCCTAGAACTGGCAAGGAAAGTTTCAGTCAATGCCTATTTTTTCCAATAAATTTCGTGTAGTAGGCTGAGGTATTCACAGTCATGCCATTGATTTTTTAGTGCTGCTTTTACACTATTATAGTAAGCATTCAATATCTGTTGGTTATTGTTACAGATGATGTTTCTCTTACTGAACACATTTTTAAAGATAAACCTTATTTAACTTATTTTTCCTTCACTCTCTTCTATCTCCTAAATTTATTCAAAAGCCCTAAGCAAGTACCTGCTAGAATGTGACTAAATAAAAGCTACTACTAAAAAGCCAGTAAGTGTTGCTAAGTCTATTTTTCTTTGCCTTGACTCCCAAGGGGCCAGCTTGTCACTTTGTTGACAGGTATCAGAGCACTTCATGCTTCACTGGAGATGCATCAAAAATTTCCAAATTGCCAGCTCATTAGCACAAAATGGGGCTTCTTTCAGGAATCTCTTTCTCTCAGTGCCCCAACTGTGCTTTTCAAAGTGTTCCAATCTTGGTGGCCAGCTCTGAAACAATGAGTAAAGACCACAGGGAAATGAGAGATGGATGTTAATTAGTCAGTCTTAATGGAGTGAAACATGGGTGAAGGCAAAGTACAATGGGGTGAAAAGCTGGGATTATCTGTGCTAGCAGAAAGATAATGCATAATTTTGTTAACTGTTCACAGGTCACTGAATGCCAGAGTTCCAAGTTCCTCAGAGATCATCTAGTTAGACCCCCCCTATGTTTTACCAGTAAGGGTAAAAGAAACCATAAGAGAGGAAAGGGACTTGTATAAGGTCATTCAGCTCTTCCCATTTTTCCATATACCGGCTGACTTTTGGTTATATGACCTTTATGAAATCCATTTTCAATTACTTGGGCCACTCACTGGTAGCCCAGCAATTGTTTGAATAATCCAAAATGACACCTAAGGTAACCATCATTTAGATTGTGCCTTGTGATGTGTGTTTATACTGACATTCCAGTGTGTCTGGGTCCAATCTGAGAATTCCCAACACTTGAAATGAAACAAGAAGGCCATCCTAAAAGTCTGATTCAGGAAAGGCTGGGAAGTTGATCAGTCTTACTCAGCGGGCAGCATCAAATGATGGTACACAGCCTCTCAAGCAGGGCATGTTATTCTCAGCAAGTCTGTTGATTCACACTTTCGAAACCTGGGCATCAGCCAGACTTTTGAATGGGGTGGTGGAAAGGGAAAACAAAACATTTTATAAAAGAATATATACATCTTCTTCTCTCCCTGCCTCCCTCTTTTCCTCCCTCCTTCCATCCTTTCCTCATTCATTTTCTTTTCCTTCTTTTTCCTCGATAGAAAAATGAGTGGCTGCTTTATCTTCTATATAAACAAATATGTGGTTGCGCCATTGACCTGGAGAACTGGCTATCAGGAGGCAAAACAATTAATGGAAGACATACTGGAATGTAGGAGTAAAGTGAAGGAAAGACTAGTAAACAATAATTTTTAAAATCATCAAAAAGTCAGGAGAAGAAAGAATCAGTTGCATAGCTCAGTAAGTGCCCGGGGTTTGGTAAAGGGCTGGTTTGGAGTATAGTCTGAGGGACCTTCAATCAATTTCATCTCCTGATCCAGACTCAGCTGGACCCTAGGATTGTGCTGGGTACCCATAATTTACTGGTTTGTTGTCTGCAGATTTTTGCACTTGTGCTAAAGTGGTATTATTACATTCAACACATCTGTCTTGTGGAGGATGCTGCTAGTGACTGAGAAAGGGCAGTAAACAGAAAAGGGGCATGTGTAGTTGGACTGAGGCTTATAGTTCAAGAAAGAGTCCCTGCAAGGACTCAGTGGCAGCCCCAATGGCAGAAGAGAATGCAAAATGCTTAAGCTTGTCTTCAGCAATTATTAAGCATTTTAGTTTAAAAGGTTCCCCCCACCCACCACCTTTCATTTTCTGGCCTAGAATAAACAGAGATCTTGTTGATGTAACAAAGTGCTTAATTAACTCAAGGTGGTGCTTAATATCAATACATATTGAAGGGGAGACTTGCTGTTGGTAACAGTAATATGGATAATTGAGTTGCATGAATAAAAAATGGGTAGAGTGAATTAAGACTAACATACATCAACAGGAAAAAATCTATTAGCATTCATTAGTTAGGCTCCTGTTTGTGACTCTTTGTTAGCCTAAGAAAACCCTTTTAGATGGCTGATCTCTGCTGAAAGTCCTGCCTGATGCAGAGGGCCTTCTGCGGATGCCAAAGGAATGAGTCATTCAAATAGAACTTCTGAAATTCAAGTACAGCACTTTGCCTTTTTTTTTTTTTTTTTTTTTGGCAGCAGGCAGCAGTGACTGTGAAGTAATAATGATAATGACAATGGAAATAAGAATGTGATCCTAATTAATTTGCTGAGAGTTGTTCCCCATTTACCAATATTGGCTTGTTTTATCTTGAGTGGTGGCCCAGGTACTGGAACAATGGTATATATATTCAAAATCACTTGGCTAACCTATGATTTGTCAGACAAAGGTTAATTAAAAAAAAAACACAACTGTTGGGTTAGCAGCAATAAATTTAATGGCAGTCTGTGATTTAAATTAGAATTTCAATTTATTTGATGGGGCTCTTAAAATCCTGATTTAACATTTTTCTCTGTACTCAGGAGGTCTCAGCTTCCACATTGTACATGAACTGGCCAATCTAAATCTCAGCAATATTCTGACTTGCGTGGTGGGGGATAGATTGGAGGGATGCTATAAAAGACTGAGAAAAATATTGGAAGAAGAGAAGAAATGTGAAAACACCTGCAGCAAGGACCAGCCTTTAGTTGCCCCACTTAGAATCTGCCTTTCCCTAAACATCTTATGGTTTAATCTTCCTCACCTCATTTGCCCCAAGGAAAAGAACTAACAAGCAAACATCTCTTCTTGATTCCATCAGTGGGGTGGACCTTTTTCTTTTTTAACCTAACCATTTCTGCATATGAAATTCAGACAGTATCCTAACCTTAAGGCCAGGCACCATATGTGCTTTGTTCATTTCCATATCTCTTACGGTCATACTGACCTCTGCATGCCAGAAATTCACTAAAAAGTTGAGGAATGATTAATGGATGGATGAGATGACTCCTACGACCATGGATGGAATTGATGTTCTGATAGGTAAACCTCACCTTGGTGGTAGAAGGAATACAAAAGTAGGCATAATCAAGGCCCCACCGCCCCCAGTGGGGGACATTCTGCTTTTCTTTTCTTTTGCCTACCCTACCTGCTATTATTTCTCCCTTTGCTTTCAATGTCCTACAGCCTGAATACCTTCCTGCCAAGATTGCCCTGGTTAATGGAAATTCTGTAGGCTGTGGTGGAATAGTGAACACCCATATTTTCAGATTTTGGTGAATCCCCACTATGTTCCAGAACCCTAGAAGCAATCTTCTAGGCATTTGTTGAAGAGACATACATAAATGATCAGGTACTTTGTTTGTACATACTTTTTTGAATTCACAATTCCACTCACAGAATATTGAGCTGGAAGCTCAAGGTCTTCAGAATCAACTCTCCTGCTATAATCATCAGAGCTCACAATGATTGAGGGCTTAACTGCTCTCAGATATATCATGTGTTTACAACCCTGTGAGGTAGGTATTCTTGTTATTTATACTTCATGTATCAGGTAATTGAGACACAAAGAGGTCAGGTAGCTTGTTCAGCATCACAGAGCTAGGAAGTACTAGAACCAAGTTTCAAACTCAAATTTATCAGATTTCAAAGGCTGATAGGAAATGACTTTCCAAAGCTCATTTTGCAGCAGCCTGGCTTTTCTGGCACTAATTTGTATGCATATTTTGCTATACCACACTGCTCCGTCAGCTCACACTGTCCCATTCCTTACAAGCATCATTCTTATTTAGAAGCGCTTATCTCCCCAGATGGACTGTGGATTCCTCCAGAGCAGAAATTGCATTATTTCTGTGTTGCTTCCTTCCTCAAAGGTTTGCCCAAGATTTGCCTTCAGTATGTAATGACCTGTGATGAGCTTCTTAGAAGTTTATTGGAGCTTCCTGGAGCCATCCACCAGTACTACTTGTGGCTCAGAAGTTGGGAGGAACCAAGATGTTGAATTTTGCGTAAGAGGTCATCTTACCACCTGCTTTATGTTTTGTTCTCTACAACACAGATTGAAGATGGGGGCAAGGCAGCCTTGTCCCAGAAGATGAGGACCGGTGATGAACTGGTGAATATCAATGGCACTCCTCTGTATGGATCCCGCCAAGAGGCCCTCATCCTCATCAAAGGCTCCTTCCGGATCCTCAAGCTGATTGTCAGGAGGTAAGGCACAGGGAGATTGGCTGTAAGGCACAGGGGCCACTGAAACCATTTGGTTGCTACTAAAGCCTCAATACAGTTATGTCTTTTATCAGTATCATCAAAGAAAGAGGTGTTTCATATAAAACAAATTTTGCAGACAGCTGAAGCCAGAGTGGCATGGAGAAAGGGTCTTTGGTTCAACTCCTACCACTGCCACATGATATTAGCCATGTCACCTTGGTTCAAATCCATGACACTACCTGTGTCACCTTGGTTAAATTTGTTTTACATCTGCAAGACTTGGTCTTCCTGTTTGCTACTGCGAGAACTAAATGGCTCCATACACACTAAGAGTCTATATAACCTGATGTTTTTCTGTCTCCTTCATAACAGGCTGCCACTGCTCAACCACATAGATTTTTTTTCAAATTTTTATTTAAATCAACAATACAGATTTAAAGAGACCCTACTACCAGCCATGATAGGCATTCTGGAAGCTGTGGCAAAATCTAAGATAGAAATACTGCCCTTAAAGAATATAGAGTCTGATAAGGGAGAAAAGACACACATGTGACAAATTAATTAGCGATACATTTTTGAAAAAAAGAAATAAAGGAGATTTCACAGGGTGAAGGGTGATTGTCAAATAGATTGTTGAGAAAACTTGCTACTAAAATTCAAGAAAAAGTATTTCAGGAGAGATTGATAGGGTAAAAGTACAGAGAGGAGGTGGAATTTGAGCTAAAGGTTGGGAAAAATTGGACAAATAAGACATCAGGAGGAGAAAGGCACTCGAGAGAAGTAGAATGGCATAAGCCGAAGGAAGGTAAAGACATATTTGGGCATAGTTATTCTGTTGCTACTACACATCTGCTTGTTAGTAAGCTTTCCATATGACTTCTCTTTCATTTTGCTGCTGTATCTTTGCTCTGTATTACTGGAGCTCATCCTTCTTCCTTCTATTAGTTTCCTGCATCCTTTACACATGTCTGAGTTTCTCCATCTTATTTATTTTTATTAGAAAAAATATTTCTAAAGCATCTTCCCGTCATCATAATCCACTCCCAGGCTACTGCTCCATATTTCTCCTTTTGTTCATACTTAGTCTCTTAAAAGAAAAGTGTGTATTCACTGCTTTCGTGTACAGTTTGGCTTTCCGCCCACTGCGGTCTGAATTGGACTTCCAGAACCCCACTGAAACTACTATGTCAAAAGCTACATATTACTTCCTAATTGTCAAAGTCAATGGATTATTTTCAGTCCTTATCATGTATGACTGGTATATGGCATTTGACACTGTTGCTCTGGATTATGTCCTCCCTGGTGAAATTCTTTCTTGCTTGAAAGATACATTTTCTTGTTCTTTTCTTACCTCTCTGCTCATTTTTTTTTATTTTGCTTTTTAAAATTTTAAGCTTTTTATTTTGAAATCACTTTAGACTTAGGGAAGAGTTGCAAAGTGACACAGAGAATTCCTATATAATCTTCACCCAGCTTTCCCAAATGGAAACCTTTTATTATACCATGGCATATTGATCAAAACTAAGAAATTAGCATGATCAATGAGTTCCAATATAACAAAGTACAATAAATTCATTGGTCTTTTTTCAAGTTTCACATCACAACAAACCTTTAAGAAACTACAATTTGTTTGAGTTTCATTGTAGTATCAAACATTATCAGTAAATATCTGAAAAACTCAGTTTTCTATTTTCTACTCTTTTCTAACTATATATCTGTGTGAAGTCAAAAATTTTTTATATACTTCAACTAAAATTACATATTGCAACAGAATAAAGCAGATATGAGAATCCAGCTGTTTTCTATTAAGGTGAACATCAAATAGATTTGTAAGCATGTAAAACAAGGCCAGTCTTCCAATTAGATATTTTTTTCTAGAATATATAGCCACTTTTCATAAAAATGCTATGTTAGAATGTAATGGATTTGCCATTATTTTAAATAAACGTTAATTTTTTTCCAGTTTTAGTTTTGAATATGGTAAATATTAGTAAGTGTAACTCAAATAAACAAAAGTGTTTGAGATACTCATTATTTTTAAAGTATGTAAAAGCATCCTTAGCGCAAATTATTTGAGAATGGCTTCCCTAAAGGATTCATTGTATGTAATGAGTTAACTTTTGTACAGTGCACCAAGCTGGTACTATCTATGTACCATCTTTGGGAGAACTGAGAAAAATCATCACTCAAATGACATTTTATAGGGTTTATATTTCTCACAAGAGCCCAGTAGGGGAAGATTGTTCTAGACATTAATAAGTTAATAGATGTAAAATATGTTGAACCGTGATTAGCAGATAAGCCCTCTGTAGAAGTTAAAATCTTTCTTTTTGTTTCAAATTTCTATTTAAATTCTAATTAGTTAACATATATGGTAAAATTAGTTTAGGTGTAGAACTTGGTGATTCATCACTTACATACAACACCCAGCACTCATCACAAGTACCCTCCTTAATACCCATCACCCATTTAGCCCATTCCCTGCCCACCTCCCTACATGAATGCTCAGTTTGTTCCTTATAGTTAATAGTCTCTCATGGTTTGCCTTTTTCTTTAAGAGTTTCTTTCAAGAGGAGTCAGATTTTTTAAATTTTAAATGTAAGTTAGTTAATATACAATATAATCTTGGCTCCAGAAGTTGACTAGAACCCAGTGATTCATCTCCTACGTATGACTCCTAGTGTTTATCCCAAAGAGTGCCCTCCTTAATGCCCTTCACTCATTTAACCCATCTCCCTACTCCACCTCCAGCAACCTTCAATTTGTTCTCTGTATTTAAGAGTCTCTTATGGTTTCCCTACTTCTCTGCTTGATGAATGGATGAATGAAAAAAAAGATGTGATATATATATATCATTTGCTTTTTAAAACCAGCCTTCTCTACTACCTGCTCTTCCTCTGATCATCTATTAAATGTTAGTGTTTTCTCTATTTCCACTTTCTAGCTTCATTAATATACCATGGAAAACCTTACTCAGTTCCAGAGCTTCAATTATCATTTACACATATCTATGACTATATCTCTTGAGCCCCAGACCTATATAGTCAACTTCCTACTGGACATCTATACTTGGATGTTTCAGAAGCATTTGAAGCACAATATGCTTTAAACCTAACCTGTCATCTTCTCCTCTTAAGCCCCTTATCTCTGTGCCTAGGACAAACCATGCCCTTAGTCAACCAAACCAGAAACACAGAAACCATCTTTAATCTTCCACTATTCTCATGCTCTACATCCAAGTGATTTATCTTGAGGGAATACATAATGGAGAAAGGGTTTTAAGTTAGTAAGGTTGAGGTTACATAGGATCCCATTGATTTATCAGATAATTTGTTGATACCTAAGATTAAGCCATCCCTGCTCATGTACTTGAATAGGAAGGGACATGTTAAGAAATGCCTTACACAATAGACACATTGTCACTGACTCAGTCTTGAATTGGTCGGGATTTAGGTTTTAAATAAGGCTTCTTGCAGAGGTCGCTTGGTAGTTTTTTCTTTAGAGACAGATCCATATATGGCACTGCCTAGTTCCGTCATATGGGAAATAATAGCCCCTATATAATGGCGTTGTTGTGATGATTAAATAAGGCAATGTATATAAAATGCCTTTCACTTAGAGGATTCTCAAGGAATGTCATTCTCATTCCTTTCCCTGGGGTATAAAAGAAGCATAATTGGAGTAACCAAGCATTATTAAATAAGGAGAACATCAGAACTGTAGTGCGCTTTGCAGCCTAACCTTCAAAGCACAAGATTTGCAGGGAAACCATTAGGGGTGAAAAAGATCTGAACATGAACTAAAGGTCCCTATGAGATACTGGTTATACAGAGATACCAGCACTTGGAGGGACTGTAGATACCATCCATGGTGGCTTCTGAGCCAGTCTTAAAAATGAGAGTATCTGGGTGTGTCACCTACTCATCTTCTCTTGGTAAACTCCATATTCTCTGTGTTCCTGCTGTAGCAACATCTACCACTACCATTCACTCAGGAATGGTTGTAATTCTGTCTTGGAGATAGTAGTGCCCTTGGATTTTCATGGTGTGGCAGGTCTTATACTCCCTGAACCTACACTCTACCCTTTCAGCCTCCCCACTCAACCCCTCTTGGAGGGGAGGCTCAATGACATAATTTATTAGGTGATGCTGCCCTCTTGTGGAAAACCTAACCTTCATGTATGGATTACCCCAGGAACAGTATAAATCACTTATTTATTCCCTCTTTATTAGTCCAAATGATTCCTTGGATTTATGAAGGAGCTCTTAGCACATAAAATAAATGTGATCTCCCTGAGATTTAATGTTTAGCCTAGTGTTTTATACTAATGTAGAAAGATGTTGGTTTGAGTAAGCAATCAACTGGCAAAGATTCAACACTCAGCTTTAGGTCTGTACTTAAACCCTTTGGGATGAATATAATGAGAAAGAAGAACTTTAGAAAATGGCCTATTCTGAAAAGCCAGGCCAGCTTTTTCTCCTATATTGCCCTTTAGATAATGGTCAACTAGGTCAGAAATTTAGGTGTTAACCCTCAACTCCTCTCACTTGTCCAGTCTAAGTAATTCCAAGTCTTGATGATTCTACTTGCTATAAACCTCTATGCAACCTCTGTCTCAATCAAATCACTCATGATTTTTTACCTAAGCTATTGTAAGAGTCTTTTCACTGGCTTCTCATCTTTTGGTCTCACCTCCTTCTAATCAATCCATTCTCCAAATAAGGCATCTGACTATGTCATTCATCTATTTGGAAACAAAACAAAACAGGAACAATAACCATAGAATTATGTTGGTCCCATGAGATTTATTTTATATTTATATCCTTATATTTAAGGATATTATATTCATGAAATACATTTTTAAAAATATTTAAGTAAATAACTATTGGCAATACAAGAAGAAAACTAACAGAAATGTCTTTATGGAAGACTTCCACACAATTTAGCTATGACAGATAAAGTAAGTAAAAATAAGTACTTAGAATATGTGAAAAACAAAATTCATCAGACTTAATTAATACCAAAAATTGTATTTGATGGACAGTGAATATGCCCTCTTTTCAAATATCTAGAGAATATTTTTTAAATAATCATATGGTATACAACAAAGAAAATCTTTGCATACTCTTACAAGTAGAAATCATACTCGCCTTGTTCTCTGATGATAATGTAAAACTTCTACAAATTTAGAAACAAAGTTAAACAAAAGTCTTCCATTGCTTTAATATTTCAGAACACATTTATATGCAAGTATTAGCCAAAAGAAACACTAGCAACTAATAAAAAATAACAAAAATGAGATCATGACTTATCAAAACTTTGAAAGCAATATTCAGAAGTAAATTCATAATCTTAAATATTTCATTATTAAAAATGAAGAATGAAATTACATGATTAAGAATCCAATATAATATTAAGCTGAGAGGTGTGTTGTTTATATGGGGAGATGACTTAAATAGATAAGCCTCTAGCAAATTTAATTAAGGAAACAAAGATGAATTATAAATAAATTTAAATGATAAATGGAATATAACAACAAGTACAAAGAAATTTTCCTAAATTATAGGAAACTACTGTAATTGTACCTTAATAAATTTGAAAATCTCAGCATGTTTGAAATATAATATGTTAAACACCAAGCATTAGTAAGAAATTCAAAACTTAAATGGGCCTGCAACTGTAGAAACCTTGAAAACAATTATCAGAGAGAAACTTCCAAAAATACTTTAAGGCCACAAGTTTTTTCCTTCAAATTTTCTAGGAATAATTAATTCTATAACAATATTATAGAATTGTTAAAGAACACTGTTATAGAAATGAAAATCTTTCAGAGTTATTCACATAAGTTTTGAAACTAGCATCATTCTAATACCAAGTTCTGACAGACTATTCCCAAAAGAATATTCTCTTCAGTTTGTGAGCTTATATGCAAAACCTATAAATGAATTCTATCAAATCTACTTCAACAAAACTGCACAATAACAAGTAATTACCAATATTAAAAGATAATTTTTTAAAAGGTAAAAATATTAACTCATAATGATATAAAAATGAACATATGTTAAAGATTTTATTAAGGAGATTGTAAGATGTTACAACGAGTTCAAAGGATAAGTCAAAGAAGCACAAATTTAATTTAAAATGACAATAGACCAGAAAAAACAATTAGAAGCTATAAGGAGAAATATATCCTATTCATGATAGCAACCAAACACAAAAAAGTTTTTTAGGAATGGCCTTAAGAAGAAATATGTATGA